GCGCCGGTGTAAATCTGCGCGAGCCGGGCTGCACTCTGCAGGGAAAGGCTGCAGCCCAGCACTGGCTTGAGCTCAGACTGAGGACCAGGGTGTTTTGCAGCCTGCCAGCGGCCCTGCACCCCTGCCGGACTGCCACGCTAAGCAGGAACAGGTCGGCCGGCTCCGGTACCCGGGATCAGACACTGCAGAAGAAGGGGGGAGCCATGGCCATGGGTCACGCCGGGCACTTCCCATGAAGTAACTGGTGACCAGCCAAAACCAGGTGTCCTGGTATGGTGGGGAAGATGTTGGTGCATCGCTGTTGCAAGCTGACGCCGGTGCCGCAGGGAGGATTCGCACCGCATGCAGATTTATGGCCAGGGAGGTGACAGTAGTGGCTTCAAAGCCATATGAAAGCCCTCTCCCACCCGCAGCGTTCCCGGTCACCGCAGCACCCCGAGCGCTTGTCCACACTCTTCTGGCTTGGGGGGGCTCCCTGAGCACCTCGAGGTCTTTTGCTCTTCTCCACGTGCTCCTCCAAGGCCCCCCGTCATTTGTGCTGTCCTGCCGCTGAAACTGGCTGGGGGCAAACCACAGGCCAGGGCAGCGCTGGGCTCCGGTGCGGGGCCACGCTCACGGCTGCAAACCAGGGGAGTGGCTTTGCACCCCGGTGCCCGCAGGCTGCCCCATCTGCTCTGCGTCACCGCCACCGGCTGCTCCCTTCCCAGCTCCGGTACGCAGCCCCGGGCAGCAGGAGCTCTGCCGCTGGAGGCGTTGGCTGCTGGGGCCATCTCCGGGCGCGGGTATGTCCCTCCGGGTCTGCTCTCAGCACATGCAGCACGAAGCATCCCCCAAAGCAAACCCCTGACCTCCAGGCTGAGCGGCCGGGCTGGGCGCGGGGATGCTGGCGGAGGGACAGGAGATGTCCGCACCACTCCGGCTGGGAGGACAAACACAGAGCCCGTATTCTCCGGGGCTTCCACCAGGGCTCACGCGGAAAGAAAAGCTGCTTTATGCAGCTGAGAAACTTCTCATCCACCCACCATCGCTTCTGCTCCGGCCCTTGCCTCTGCATCCTGACCTGACCTCCTCTTGGCGGGCGCGCACCAGCCGTCGAAGACTTTGTGCTCCGGTCTGGTCTCTGAAACGCCTTGTACGTCTGTGGGCAGACACCTCTGCATCACCTAAAAGCCATCGGGGATTTGCATGCAGGAGAGGAAGAAAAACAACAAAAAAAATGCGGCCTTGCTCTTTCATTCACATATTTATTAGGTGGACAGATCATTTGTGGTCAGATGGGCTTCGGGCTTTACAAATGGGGATATTTATAAGGCACGGAGCACGGCGGAGTTGTTCTGCATGTGCGTCCAAGTCATTCCTTCCCCAGCACAAGGTATAATGTTGCCTTTGTTCGGCTGCCTCCGACAGCCCGGCACAGCAAAGCGCGCCGTGCCGCTCGGCTGGGCCCCTCCGCCGTGCACCACGCAGCCCTGCATGCTCGCCGTTTAAATAGCGCACAGTCCCGGCGCGTCCCGGCTCTTTCCACACACACCGTGGCCCCGGCAACTGCCGCAATAAATCAATAGGAAAATAGAGGCTGCCAGTTAGACTAAACAAGTGCATTTGCAAGGATTGCTAACCCTCATTAATCACTCTGACAGTCCTAAAAACACATTTCCCCTTTAATGACTGTATTTGGATAATCAGAGCTTTTTCCTCGCGGCACGGGGTGACTGACGGCGGGTATGATTGTGGCGAGTGCCGGCACTGGGGTCACGGGCGAGTCAAGCACTGGAGGTCCCCGGCAGCTCGGGGCGAGCGGGAGAAGTTGCTGTTGTGTAATAGGGAGGGTGGGGTCACCGGCGAGTCAAGCACTGGAGGTCCCCGGCAGCTCGGGGCGAGCGGGAGAAGTTGCTGTTGTGCAATAGGGAGGGGAGCTGCCGGTACAGCCCCAAATCCGCCGTCCCCGTGTCCATCACCCACCTGTGTTATCCCAGCCCCTGCCCTCCCACCCCAAACCACCCCCTGCCAGCCGGGTTTGAAAGGGCCTTTTTTTTGTCGCTCCGCGTTCCCTTTAGGTGACTTTTGCCTCCTGGAGAGGTTTGAAACCTCGCACATTTTTCTGTATAAATGATGCAACACATTAACGCACAGCACATTATGAAAATGGTAATTCAAACCCATACAACTCTAAATTAAGCCATACATTATCCGACCCACTCAGCCATATATTTTGCAGAAAGACAGGATTGAATCAAATCAAACCGAAACTGTGGAGTGCAGGTTGTTAGACAGAATGATTAATAAAGTGCATCCCAGTGCTCTTATTATAAAATGAATTCTGCAGTAACCTGGGCATACATTAGATAGGGAGTTATTTAATATATTGGCAACACAATCATTCCCTAGCAGATAAAGCCCCCGAGTGCCGACTGCTATCAGATGATACTTTGCGGTGTTTACACAGTCTGGCCCCGGTGCTGCAGTCTTTAGGGAGGGGAAAAAATACTCCTCGGGGAACATTCTGCACGGGAGGACGTATCTGAGCAGCATCCAGCTCCCACCGTTGGTGGAGGGAAGGTGCATGGGCTCGGTTTTGGAGCTGTGAGCGTCCTGGCACGAGAAAGCCTTTGTGGGGAGAGGGGAGATGGACACTTGCTGTAAGGGATGGACCCTGCTGAAAGGGGAGGATGCACCCGCCAGCTTGCCCTGCTCCGGGAGAAGGGCTCCGGCAGGACGGTGGGCTGTGCAGGCAGCGCCTGCCCGCAAGCCCCTCGCCCGGGCTGCTCCGCTGCAGCTACTTGCCGGCTGGCACGCAGCACGGCCCCGGCAGCCCCGAGAGCCAGTCTCGGCGGCGGCCGGCCC